AAGGAAGATTTATTAATTTTTATGTCCACATTTTAAAGTGAACATGTTATAAAATAGAAAATATTTTTAATAGGACAAATGAAATTATTGCTACTCTTGCTGCTAAAATATTTACATTGCATCTAACACTTTTCTTCAGTTGCTGATAAATTTCTACCTGCACCTATAGTTCTTCTTTCCTATTTCAATCATGATATAGAATTCCTGAAACATATGTTCCTACTGAGCTGGTAGCCCTGATGTTAGTTTACACTACACGAATGATGACCGATAAGGAAATGATGGGATTAAGCTGTTCAGGGACTTGCAATAACTTACTGTGATAAGAGCAGCTGCCATATCAGTTTTATTAACCCACTAAATCACTACTAATAAATAAGATAATAGCTTTTGTCCATCATGTCTGAAAAGCAAGATTTGACTGATCAAAGTCTACGAGAAATTAAAATGTAACTTCAAATCAAACAGTCTACTGTGTACATGAAATCTACTTGGTGGTCTCGACTATCAGCTATCCTGAGCAATGGTGGGATACAGGCTCTTTTTCTTAATCACTGTATCTCTAGGGCCTAGGAAGTACCAGCACACTCAATAAAATGCTTATTAAATAAATGAAGCTTAATAGTGCAAGTTTTTTGATAGCGTATATCCTATCCTGCTATTTGCATCCTAAAACCTCTTTAGCACCATGCTCTGTACATTGATATAAATATGAATGGATTGATTATGGATATAACACATTTATAACATAAAATAGACAAAAATTGCTTTGCATTACTCTTTTGTGCCTATATGATTTTGTTTCATTTTTACTTTTTCAAAATCCAAATTTAAAAATACTGCCCAGAAAAAAAAAAAAAAAAACAGGTGTATATTTTGGCATTGGTAGTAAATCAAAAGAAGAAAAAAAAAAAAACTCAAAAGACAACACAGTTTTATCTGGGTGTTGAGAATGTACAGAATCTGTCACTGGGGCTTCTTGGCAGGGAGGGGAGGGTGACAGTGAAGGAAGGGACAGAAAGCTGAGCTGCTAATGCCCCTGTAAACTGATTGGCTTTGTCCCCAGGGCACACTCAGGTTAGGTGTTCTAGGGTGAGGCTTTGTGACCCCAAGAGTTAACCTTTAAAGACTTTTTTCCAGAACTCTTGGCACTACTGGCTTCTTATGTAGAACGTCAGACCTGCCCCTGGAAACAAATGTTTCAATTTTTAATTGTTTCTAAGTTTGACAGTGCATGATATCTGGTGATCTGTGATATCTACCTAGGTAGTCTGTCCATTTGGATTTTTGTTTTGTTTTGCTTTTAACATATCTGTTTTAAATATTTTATCTCTTCCTTTTGGCTGAATAAATTTTGCCTCATTTTATTTAGTTACACGTTTTCATCTTTCATGTTCGTGAGGTCCTTGAAAGTAACACCTGCATAAAGGTGAGTTGTGAGAACTGATCATTTTAATACCAGTTATGACAGAACTTAGGGAGAAAAACCTTGAAAATAGACACAAAATTCACTCTTCTTTTTTAGATCCTACCAATCACCTCTTTGTCACAAAGATCAGTGTTTCCCAAACTTTTGGATTTCCTACATGGAGTAAAATTTGAAAAGTAACATTGTTCCATGAACCCTAAAGGCTGCCAGGGACGGTTTTAGAAATAGTGGTGCTATCTTGTGTCCAGAATACATAAGAACTTTTTGAGTTAATCAGGATCAAAATCAATTCTGTCTGAAAGACTCAAATGAAATGACTGGATATACTCTAGCTATTCTATGAGAATTTGGCAACAATTGAGAGCTTATGTTTTTAGATAACCATCACTAAACAGTTATATAATGTCAATATATTTTAATAAATGGTCCACAGAACTTAAAATAAATTAATACTTAGTTTAAATTTTTCAAATAATTCAATAAACATTTAGTGATAGTATGTTTAAGGCACTAGAATAAACACTACCCCAACAAGTTTTGCAAAATTAATAGTAAAATTTGGAGAAATTATAAATTTCTCTTTCTCCAAAATATGCTAACTTTCTTCATTTATCTTTCTGTTTCACAGATTGTTCATATTTCTATAGACATAAAATATTTTTCATAAAGATGTACATTTTTAAAATATTAAATAGCCATTAAAAATGATGAATGTGAAGATAATATACCAAGATAAAGAAATGCTTGGGACAAAAATTAAAGGGCGCCTAGGTGGATCAGTTGGTTAAGCCTCCAACTCGATTTCAGCTCAGGCCACAATCTCATAGTTCGTGGGTTCGAGCCCCGCATAGTGTTCTGCGCTGACAGCAAGGAGCCTGATTGGGGTTCTCTCTCCCTCTCTCTCTGCCCCTCACCTGCTCTCTGTCTCTCTCTCTCTCTCTCTCTCTCCCCCCCCCCCCGTAAATAAATAAATAAATAAATAAATAAATAAATAACAACAACAACAAAAGAATAATTACATCAAACCATTGCCAACTGCAAGATTCACAAACTCTCCATCTTGCCCTATCTTTCAACATACTTGTTTATGTATGGAAAAATTTTTCCCCAGGATATCAAAATATCAAAAAATATAACAAGCAAGTTATAAAAACCAAATGTCATACTGCGAAAGAAGGAAAAAAATTCAAATTTTAATAATTTGCTCTTGGGCACATCTGCTTTTAGATATCAAACAAATTTCCTGAAATTACCACATGTTTGTCCATAAACCTAAACACTGGAGCCTCACAGAGTCACAATGGACAGGGTTAATGATTCATCCCTAATCCTAAAGGCTCCTTTTAGGATTAATTGACTTTCCCAGCAGCCTGCCTGCCTGCCTTCTTGTAGATCCTGTGAAGGGGATTTCTCTGCATTGCTTTGCCTCTTTTTCTACTATTTATCTACTTCCAACATTATCTCATCTCTCTTCTACCCACACAATTCAATAGGAATCAAATTCAGTAGAAATCAGCCAGTTAACGTGATTCAAGTTTGATAAACAAGTTAGAAGGGAAGAGCCAATTCACTCTTTTTCAATCTGGCATTTCATTCCTCCTTCTCACACCACATACTGTTAACACCAATAGGGTCAATTAAAGAAATATTAATTGGTAATCAATTATGTAGCCAACAACAGAAAGGATATAAAAATGAATGAGACAAAGTCTCTATCCTCAAAATATTATCTTTTGAGGGGAAGAGATAAGGTAATTACACACTAAGAATGAACCAATGAACTGCTGTGAGGCTATGAAGAAAGAGCCTATAAGAAATCAAGAAATAAGAAAAATTTCAAAAGAAGAGGAAGTTTATGAAACATTCTTTTCTCTTCAATGGATAAGCTTTCAAAATACCTGTAGGGAAAAGGCATTTTCCAGGGAAGAAGACCGCATAGATGAAAGAATGACATTTGGAGGTGAAACAAAGGGTGCTGGGCACTAATTTCGTGGGAGCATAGGCTCCATGCTGAGAGGTGAGTAGATGATAAGGTAGGAAAATGGTTTGGGACTAAATCATAATGGACCCTGAATGTCAAAGTGAGAAAAATTTGAGCATGACAGAGATACAATTGAATTAAAACTGTTAGAAGGCCAATTTGGAAAAACTGTATTGAAAGGACTGGAAAGATACAGTGAAAGCCAGATTATGAAAGTGAGAATGGAGAGAGACCGATTCAAGAGAATTCATAAAGTAAGATTTATTTTTTGGCAAGTGACTAAAGCTGAGCTAGCCAATAAGGTTGCTCCTAGCCACGTGTAGGTAGTGACCACTTGAAATATGACTAATCAGAATTGAGATGTGCTGTAGGAATAAAACACACAAACACTTAGTGGGGAAAAAGAATGAAAAATATCTCAATAATTTTAATTTTGATTACATGGTGAAATGATACATTGGACTAAATAAAACATATTAAAATTAAATAACACCTGTCCCTTTTTACTTTTTTAATGTGGCTACTAGAAATTTTTGAATTAAATATGTGGCTGCATTATATTTGATTGGGCAATGCTGAACTAGATGTTGGGACGGAAGAAGACATTGGATGAGCTAGAAAATGAATGGGAGAAGAGGGAAGGGGGCCTGGCAGTTCTGTGACAGAGAAACCATAGGAGAAGTTTTACATATTGATTTATTTTAAGAGGGCACTGTCAGCAGGTTCACATGCTAGACAGGTGCCAAGGAGGATGAGTAACAGTAAAATTGAGCCATAGGGTTTTTGTCTATGTAAAGAAATGGACTGTTACCATGTGAACAATGGTAAGATAAGTGAGCACAGCTACTCTTTCGAGGAATAGCAATGAGAAGGAAAATAATAGAGCAATTGTGAAGAGTACAGCAGGTCTGAGATGCGTCTGTTTTTATCAACATAAAAGAGATCTGAATCTGTTTGCAGGCAGAAGGAAAGGAAAAACTGAAAACACAGTGGACAGAGGAAATAATGGACGAGTAAGAATGTGTAACGTGTAACTCTACAGAGATTGCCACAAGAGAAAAGAAAAGCTAAAATTATCAAGAGAACTAACTCTATGTTTACATTAAGAGATGACCAAAGAAGTCATTTGTGGAGGTCATTTGTCTTGAAGGGAAAAGAAGAGGATATTGAAATTATTATCTGGGAAAGAAAACCAAAGGAAGAACCTGAACCATGCTTCAACTCCTGACTTTGGCCTTGCTCTTTGGGAATGCTGTGGTTCCATCTGGACACTTATTTAGCCATATATACTACCCTTTCAGGACACCAGTGCCTTCAGTAGTGGATTTAAGATTGTAAAAATGATTTTTTTTTATCAGCAGAAATAATATATTATGATTTTTCAGTATAAATTTTGCTTTTTAAACATTATTCCAAAATCTACTTTTTTTCTTTTTAGTTCTTACAGTTGGTAAAAAATCTGCTTCATCAAGAAGAGAACACGTGATTCCATTCACTGATAAAAACAATACTCATTTTACACGTGTCAATCCTCCTATACGGTGTATCATATGTACAGATCTGATATCTATGCTCATTAACATATCTTACTTTGAATGGCCTCTTGTTCCAAGTCGCCGAGTCGTTAAGAGGGGGAATTTCTGGCGAATTGTCTAAAAAGAAAATCAATTACTTTAGTTTTTAGTAAACGTGTGGTTCTGTTGCAAGCAACTTGTGGCCAGTTAATTCAAGAAAGTAAATGTTGAACTTTGGGTAAAATTTAGTCTGGAAGAAGTAATATTCTACATACTGACAAGCAATTGATAAGCAATAATACACCAGCAGAGGCAAGGAGGTAGTTTTTTTTTTTTTAATATGAAATTTATTGTCAAATTGGTTTCCATACAACACCCAGTGCTCATCCCAAAAGGTGCCCTCCTCAATACCCATCACCCACCCTCTCCTCCCTCCCACCCCCCATCAACCCTCAGTTTGCTCTCAGTTCTCAACAGTCTCTTATGCTTTGGCTCTCTCCCACTCTAACCTCTTTTTTTTTTTTTTTTTCCTTCCCCTCCCCCATGGGTTCCTGTTAAGTTTCTCAGGATCCACATAAGAGTGAAACCATATGGTATCTGTCTTTCTCTGTATGGCTTATTTCACTTAGCATAACACTCTCCAGTTCCATCCATGTTGTTACAAAGGGCCATATTTCATTCTTTCTCATTGCCACATAGTATTTTAATAAGATTGTTTTACTGCCCCGTCTCAATTTCCAAAGCGAATCATACCAGTATCTGCTTTTGCTTCATGTTGCTTACTACCTTATGTACCTAGAGGAAAGACTTGAGTGTCTTTACAATAATTTTATCCAGAGATTTATCAAAATTAAGTATCAATCTCCAACTCTGAAAAAACACAGGAAACTTTCTCCTTCCTTCCAGATATCCACAGCAGTGTTTTAAATTGTTTCTTTACTATGTCCCTTTCTCTAAAATTTGCTAAAAATTAGCATCCAATTAAAGAACAAAATCTGTTCTACATATAACAGGAATTGTATGATCTCCTAAGGGGCTCCGCAGCAAACTTTTTGTATATGTCAGTTTCTTGGGGGAACCAATTCTGTAGTTTTAATCAGATTCTCAAGATATTTCATCACTCCCCAAACAGTTAAGATTACTGCCATAAGGTGGAACAAAACAGTGCAAAAATGGACGTTAGCAGTTGTCTTACGCAACTTGCTCATTTTAGGGAATAAGTGAACTGAGTTTTGAAAAAATTAAGTGCTTTTCAGAAGGCTTCACAACAAATTTGTCACTGTCTAGGCCAGAACCCGAAGAATGAGATTACCATGCACCATATCACACTAACTCCCATAAGCAGAGAGGCTTCAAAATAAGTTTATAAATTATTTGATTTTCAAAAACTGAGAAGCTCGACTATAGTATTCATTATTTTCTGGACAATGAGTCCCTCTACAGGTTAGAATTTAGATTTCAGTTTATATGAGATGCAATGTTTGAGCCCTAAGCTTCCTATAGTTTTTCTAGAATATCCTAAGTTCTTAGCAGAGCATGAAAAGAATCTCGAAGGAGAAACATTTCCCAAGAGATTGATATCCTGTCTTGATTTTCAAAATAACATCAACATACATAAATATGATAATGCCAATTCTACAGATTCCCATCCTAACCATACAGTTGGGTAGAAAGGAATGTTTTTAAATAAGCGATGCTTCACCAATTCTGTCACAACATTTTAGAGTTTGGGGTATAAACATACTCAGAGTGAAATGGAGAATCAAGGGAACTATTTCATGAAATAAAGTAAAAATTATTAAAAACTCATATACTTGAACTAGCTAAATAATAAACACAATCACCAGTTGCATTAACAAGATACTTGTCACCACCACTTAATTTTACTTCTCAATACAGGCTATACCATACTCTTTTTTTTTTTTTTCAACGTTTATTTATTTTGGGGACAGAGAGAGACAGAGCATGAACGGGGGAGGGGCAGAGAGAGAGGGAGACACAGAATCGGAAACAGGCTCCAGGCTCTGAGCCATCAGCCCAGAGCCTGACGCGGGGCTCGAACTCCCGGACCGCGAGATCGTGACCTGGCTGAAGTCGGACACTTAACCGACTGCGCCACCCAGGCGCCCCTATACCATACTCTTTAATGCATCCCTCTTTGAAGGGAAATGTCACTGCTCAAATGGAGATTCCTTTATTATTTTTTTTTAATTTTTTTTAAATGTTTATTCATTTTTGAAAGACAGAGAGAGACAGAGCACAAGCAGGGGTGGGGTGTAGAGAAAGGGGGACACAGAATCTGAAGCAGGCTCCAGGCTCTGAGCTGTCAGCACAGAGCCCGACGCGGGGCTTGAACTCACGAACCGCGAGATCATGACCTGAGCCAAAGTCGGACGCTCAACCAACTGAGCCACCCAGGTGCCCCAAATGGAGCTTCCTTTAATATCACATTAAATCATCTGATAGCTAAGGTTCTAATATTCAAAACATAGAGTAGTTCCAGGTAAAACCTATAGTAGGTAAAATCAAGATAAAATGCTTGTGAAACAAATTTCTTAAAATTCTGTAAAAAAATTTACTTAGATGCATTTGTTTCTATACTGTCTTCCAGACATGACTTTAGCAGTAAAGTAGTATGGCCAATATGTCATTTACCTTTCCAAAGGTGGCTGCACAGGCTGGCTCCAATTTCTCTTTCCTGCAGAAATCTAAATAGTGCGCATAAAGGATGCACCGTGGTAAGCAAACTCCCTCACACACAATGTAATTCTCTTCAAGCCTAAAAAAAAAAAAAAAAAAAAAAAAAAAGGCAGAAAATTAGGTCAAACCTTTTCTTTATTTCTCCTTTCCTTTCCCCTTTCACATTGATTTAATGACTGTTTTGAATACAGACGCTATACAATGAGTTCATGAGCAGACATGAGCAGACCTTCTTTATTCCGGATATTATTAAAAGTCAGATCACAAGAATTAATGTTAGAAGAACAAGAACCCCAATGAATACCTGCTAGTGGAGTTAAAATACCCTGGTCAATGTAAAACCACTCCTTTCTGGTCTGTATCTCAAAGAATAGGTCTTATTTCTATGGAAATCCTCACTATTCATTATGGTTTGCTCTGTGAGATGCAAATATGTATGAATGGTAAAATTGAAGGAGATGGTTTTTTAAAAGACTATTCTCAACACTAATGGGCTGCCAGGTTTCAGGCTGGCAAATGCCTACAATCTCTTACTTTCATTCCCAAACTAGTCCTGAGCCCTAAATGGTTAGGGAAGCATGATGATGCATTTATTTGCAAAACACCGAAGAGTAAACTCACTTCACTGAAGTCTGAAATGGTACTGATCTACTTCTACCCTATGCCTTTTGCTGTGATCAAGTACCATAATTGCCTGAAACATACCATGCACTTGAAACATAATGTACTTCTCTATAGATGTCTCCAAATATGACATACAAATTCAACTCTGTTACAAATGCAATTGTATAAATTTTGAAAATTTAGACACAATTCTATTTGAATTCTACATTGCAATTAAACACAATTTATATAAATGTAATAATGTATACTCAAGTGTTATAAATACCTAAACAGCAATCGAGAAATCAGAACTTGTAGATTGTATTCCCAATTTTCCTAACAATTCAGTAGGTGATATTGACTAAAATTTACGTACACCCATTTTCTGTATAGTAAAATTGTAATTATTACTATATAGGAACAACGCAATATTGAGCATGCATTCAGATTAAAATTGAGTGAAACTAGTCACATCTCTGATTTAGCATATTCCCTAAATGCATGAGATAAAAGCTAAAGGAGATGTTCATCAGACTTTAAAGCATCAGATGTTCATACTTCTTTGAAGAAGAACAAAACAAAACCCAGTCAGATTTGCATCCACAAAACTAAACCTAGCTGACAGTTGAAAACTGGAGTTACTTAGATTTTTCATTTTAATTTTCAGCTCCAATTTTTAATATCCCCAATAATCTATATAACCATGAGGGAAAATTTTTCGAAGTACAAATAAGTCACTCAGTTTCTAGAAAACTCTATGTAACACTCTTTTATAGGGAAAGTTCAAACAAAAGTATAGCATTTTAAATTTCAAAAAATGAAAATCACTAAGAAAACATTCAACTATTTAAAAATTATATTTTAATGGCATGCATAAAATGTCAACTGTTCATGTGGCTATTTAATGTTGTTGCAGGCATTGTCTTTATCTTCAAAATACTGGATAATCCCATCCATGAATATGGCTAATTTGGGGTATAACCTGTTTTTCTTTAATTATAATGCAGTCACTCATATTTATAAAACAAAAAAACAAGTTTGTTCACATTCACTCATTTGAGGGAAAAACTGAAAGTGATAATTCAGCAGTTCTCCACAATATATCTTTAAGCAATACTGCCCCAATTATACTAATAAAATAGCTGTATCTAAAATATTCCAGATAATTAACTCAAATATTTACTGCCCCAGTGTATTTTTAACCAGTCAGTGTGACATCAACTTCAATAGTTAAGCCACAACTTTAGAAGAATATTTGGTTTAGATTTCAAATATTTGAAAAGGTGTAAGTATATAATCACAAAAATTTAGTATATGCAAACTGTAATTCAGGGTTTAAATAGCTGAAAAAAAGTTAGGGTTTTTTTTTTTTGCTAGATTTTTAGACATTATTTTTTTCTATTGTATTTTTCTAAGGTTTAGTTCATACTTTACATACATACAGATTATACAACTAATCAGTAAATAAACCTTTTAAGTTATTTGCTTGTTACTTGTAACTTGGAAGGAAATATATACTCCTATTCACACTATGTGGGGAAGCTTAGAGTTTTTACTTTAGATCCCTCTTCCTTTTTGATCAATATTACAAAATGCTCTTCATATGTAGAAAGCCTACTGATAAACTCTTGGTTTTTTTGTTGTTGTTGTTGTTTTGTTTTTTAATTTTTTTTCAACGTTTATTTATTTTTGGGACAGAGAGAGACAGAGCATGAACGGGGGAGGGGCAGAGAGAGAGGGAGACACAGAATCTGAAACAGGCTCCAGGCTCTGAGCCATCAGCCCAGAGCCTGACGCGGGGCTCGAACTCACGGACCGCGAGATCGTGACCTGGCTGAAGTCGGACGCTTAACCGACTGCGCCACCCAGGCGCCCCAAACTCTTGGTTTTAAAAGAGTTTCCATAAAATCCAATTCATGATATTTCATCACAATAAATCATATATGACAGGTGCTATAAAAATAGTTGAACATTTATTTAATAGAGATATTTTAACTGAATTTTCAATATCTTCTAGTTCAAATGCATTTCACCTAATGACCAGTATACAATTGTTTATTTGCCCTCATATGGATAAAGGCAATATTTAAGATCCTTCCTCCTTTTAAGGTGGTTTGAAGAATCATGTTTTATAAACAAAAAGACGATCAAATAACAAGTATATAGGGACCGAATTGATTGCATGTTAAGCAAATAAGTCATAAAAAGCATTCATTATTGCTGACATTTGATGAAATTATAGTTTATGTCAATAGTGAATAAAGTGATGGGTTTTTGTATTGAGATCATTTTTCATCAACACTAGACTAGACTATGTCTCCAAACCAAACATTCATTTAAAAAAAAAAAAAAAGATTCATTTTCTTTTGGTATCTTAAACTTGCCCCCAAAGTTTGAGGTAGAGGCAAATTGGGAAAAGCAGATTCTGAAGATACTGACTTTCAAAACTCAACGGGTGCTGAAAAGTATCCCCCGTGGGAGACTTACCACTGCAGGGTGAGCTGAGTCTGCTTCTTTTTATCCTTCATCATCTGCGTGACGGTTTTCTTCTGAGAGAGGTGTAGATCGGCTGCTTTGGTTTTGCTGTCGTGACTGTCTGCATCCTCTTCTTCCGAGGAAACGTTACCATTGCTTAAACGCATTTCTGATTGCAAGTTGAAAGGGTGGTAAAGACAATCAGAATGCAAAATCAGTGAAGGAGCCTCTAAAAGTACCAAATTGGTGCCAAACTGGGTAGCCCAAGGGGGTGGGCAGGGGGTTGAGACGGGAACTAAGCCAAATCCCTTAGAGTTCATTTCCAGGTGACCAACGTTTTCCTGGGGAAAATACAAAGATCAGGACGGGACATTCTCCATGTATGTTATGTCTGCGGTGTGTTTACTTTTCCTGTGGGGTGCCCTTCTTAGAATTCATCCCTTCCCAGCCACATCCCCCGAGGGGGCAGAGCACTCACCCGATTTAACTCCCGCCGGCAGCTCCGGGTCTTCCCCTCTCTCCGCGCTGCCCAGCGCGCCGCCGGCCGCCGCCGCCAGGTACACCCTTTCCTCGGGGTAAATGAGCAAGCCCTTGCCCAGGAGCGGCCCACAGCACTCCTCCTGGGCCTCGGGGGAAACTTGGGGCGAAGGCTGCGCCTGCGCCTGCAGGAAGGTGTCGTCCAGCTCCGGGACCCTGGCCATCCTCTGGCCGCGGGAGACCTGGGCACCAGCCGCACGGCCCGCGGAGCCCAGAGCCCAGGGCGGGGCGGGGCGGGGCTGGGGACCTGCGGCCGCGGGGGCGGGGGCGGAGACGGCAGGCTCCCGAGCCCCGCGGCGTCGCGGCGAAGGAAGGCCTTGCGCAGGGACTGCGCGGACCGAGGCGGGACGGCCTTTCTCCACCTGTCCGCGGTTCCGGCAGACGCTCAGCTCGGACTCCCTTCCTCACCTGCGCCTCTCTCCCCCGAGTCCCATTCCCCACACCTCCCCCCTTCTCTCCGCCCTTGCTCACGTCTGGCGCTGGGCCCGAGGGCACTTTTCACATTCACACCCGGAGCTCCCGGAAACATCTGAGAAAACCCCACTCTCTTCCCGAGGGAAGAGCTACTGCAACTGTCTCCATCCCTAACTCGCTCGTCAGACTTAAAGGACGCACGGGCCCTGCAGCCTTGAATCTGCGAGGCCAGAGCACCACTCAGTCTTTGCACAACCTGGGCCGGGTTTATTGATTCTCGGATTAATCTCAGGGGTTGGGGAAGGCTCTCTTCTCAGTGACGGGGCCGGACGCCATCGCATCACGCACGTGTCCAGACTTCCCTGCTCGAGGGTGCACCCTCGAGGGTTCTGATCCCAAGCCTCGCCTCTTTCGAGGATCTAACCTTCAGCATGGAGGAAACGATTCAATTGTTCCCTGCAATATTTTGGGACTTAAAAGCATCCCTGACAATTCCTCACCTATTGTACCTACGGGTAGTGCAGTGGACGTTGCTGTGATGAAAAATGAAGCCGCCACATTTCATTTCCAATCCAAAGGAGTCATGTGGGGTGGAAGAAAAGGTAACTTGTGCTCTCTTTAAGAAGTCAGTAGAGAGTTGGGGGTGTGTGTTGCCACATAATCTTCCATTCTTTCCATTTCTCTTCTTTCGACAAATACGTGCTGTGCTTACTCTATGCCTAGTGCGCCCCAGAAAAAGCAAGGAAGCTGTTTTGGTTCACACTGCCTCGCCACAGCCAACAACCTGTCATCTTCTTGTGGAGCATTAGAAAGAGAAATCACCCCTTAACCCAAATTTAATATTAAACTACATTACATCAAAATTTAACTTAGAAAAACCAAAATGGGACTCGAGGTGGTGGATGGCTGAAGGGTGAACTATAGACAGGAATAATATGATCTAAGAGTATTAACCTGCTTAGGCACCCAAGATTGTGGATATATTTGAAACTTTCCCTGTTTTTAGCACCACTTGTTGGGAAAGGCATCACTTTTCTGTTGAAGGATTTCTCCCTACCAGGTACCACCAGTGGCTGGGTCCAGGCTGGAACCACCCACCCATTCATGCACCCAAACCTGGGAGGCTATACCTCCCAACCAAGGGACAACTTTGCATATCAGTTTCCTCTACCTAGGCCTTAAAAGGCCAAAGAACTTTCTCAGTGCCTGGAGCTTAGCTCTACAATACTACAGTTTAGAATGTTCCCCCTTTATAGAGACACCTTCAGACATAGATTAACTCTGTGTATGCAAAAAGACTCTGCTATTTATATCACATAATCAGAAAAGAAAATATTCAGGAAAATGACTGGGAATTCTTTTTGAATTTTTAAAAATACAGACCACTTAATATCCAGGCTAAGTGTGTGTGTGTGTGTGTGTGTGTGTGTGTGTGTGTGTGTTACAGACACTAAATGAATATCTGGCAATTATCCAGCTGAATTAATCAAAGGAAACAAACCAAGCTCACTGAATGCTTTCCATGAACTTTTTTGTCTTAGTTTTAAACAAACCATCTGCCCTACAAAATAACATGTAATTTCTTTGTGCTTCTAGTCAGAAATATAAACTATAGACCTATAACAAGTGAAGAAATTGAATCAGTAATCAAAAAAAATTCTACATAGAAAAGCCCAGGACAAAAGGCTTCACTGATAAATTATACATGTTAAAAAAGAATTAATGCCAATTCTTCTCAAGCTTATGAGAACCAGTAAGAACAGTGCTCAATGGGGGGGGGGGGGGATGTCATTATCTAAATTTTTACTTGTAGTTATAATTAATCTGAGCTCATGAAGCCAATATTTTAAAGATGTAATAATGATAAGTCATAAGATCCTAGGCAGGAAAACAGTTAAATATGGAGAATGATCTCTTAAATAGTGATGCTTAACATTTTTTTTTTTTTACATTCCCTTTAAGAAATTTATGTAAGCCATAAACTCCCTCCCTGGGGGAGCAGGTGTGGGAACCCATGAATACACTAACATACCTACACACAAAATTTTGTATGCAATTTGTCAGATCCCAGGTTTTAAAAAATCTGAGAAAGTTAATTCAGTTTTAAGAAAAGGGCATAATGACATCTGAAACAGGAGATTCTTGGTAGTTCCTCAATGACAGTATCTTTGTGACTGGAGGCACCACATTAAAGGGGAAAGAAAAGGAATTTGGAGTCACAGACATTTTCACTCATTCTCTTTGTGACTCTGGGTCCTTAACCTTAGTTTCCTTCTCCCTAAGTTTTCTGAGCACCGTTTCCCCAGCTTCCAACTCCTTCTGTTTCCAGTCCCCAGATCCACCACCGCCACCTGAGAGCAGGGACTGCCTTTGGCTACCAGACCACCAATGCCCACAGGCAAAGAGAGCCCAAGAGTGTCTCTCCACTCCCTGGGTACCCTGGGTATTCCTTAGCCAATGATTGATGACTAGGAAGAATAAAAGCCTAATTCGTTGACTTCATGGTAGATAAATCTGAGTTCCAATTTACAACACAGAGCTTCTTTGTGGAATCAGGCTGAAGCATCCATGCTGGACAATTCCTGAAATCCCATCCTACTTTGCTTTCTTCCTCTTCACTGTCTACCTACCTCCGTTCCCTTGCCTGTTTCTTCTGGAAACGTTTCCTTAAAAATCACCTTCGGGATGCCTGGCTGGCGCATCGGTTAAGTGTCCGACTTCGGCTCAGGTCGTGATCTCGTGGTTTGTGAGTTCAAGCCCTGCATAGGGCTTTGTGCTGACAGCTCAGAGCCTGGAGCCTGCTTCGGGTTCTGTGTCTCCCTCTCTCTCTGCCCCTCTCTCACTTCTTCTCTGTCTCTCAAAAATAAATAAATGTTAAAGAAAAAAAATTTTTTTAATATATGAAATTTATTGTCAAATTGGTTTCCATACAACACCCAGTGCTCATCCCAAAAGGTGCCCTCCTCAATACCCATCACCCACCCTCCCCTCCCTCCCACCCCCCATCAACCCTCAGTTTGTTCTCAGTTTTTAACAGTCTCTTATGCTTTGGCTCTCTCCCACTCTAACCTCTTTTTTTTTTTTTTTTTCTTTTTTCCTTCCCCTCCCCCATGGGTAAGAAAAATTTTTAAATCACTTTTGTAGATGACTACTTAACTCAAGTTCTGCTGACAAAGACATCACATTACAGGGCTTATGTAAGCATTAAATGCAAAATTATAAAGACAAACTTAATACAATGCCTAGAACAGCAAGCTCTCAGTGAAAGGTATCTAATAGGGGCGCCTGGTGGCTCAGTCAGTTGAGCTTCCGACTTAATGAGCTTCAGGTCATGAACTCAGGGATTCCTGGGCTCTGTGGCTTTGTGAGTTTGAGTCCTGGTGACTCTGCTGCAGGGCCTGCTTGGGATTCTCTCTCTCTCTCTCTCTCTCTCTCTGCTTCTCCCCATTCATGCTTTCTGTCTCTCAGAAATAAATAAACTTAGAAAAAAGTATCTAATATTTTATTCTACAACCTTATATCTCTTTTAGTGCTCAGAGGCAAGGAAAGAAATTTTTTTTCTTTCATGGCAAAATGATTCTGAGAAACATCTTTCTTCTTACCTAGGCTATTCCTTGGGCTTAGTATAATCTGGAGTGATCACAAACTATGAAACTTTCTTCTGTAAAAGCACACGTCTCCTCTAATTTTTTTTCTTTTCACCAAGATTACTTTTTTTTTTTTAATTTTTTTTTCAACGTTTATTTATTTTTGGGACAGAGAGAGACAGAGCATGAACGGGGGAGGGGCAGAGAGAGAGGGAGACACAGAATCGGAAACAGGCTCCAGGCTCTGAGCCATCAGCCCAGAGCCTGACGCGGGGCTCGAACTCACGGACGGCGAGATCGTGACCTGGCTGAAGTCGGACGCTTAACCGACTGCGCCACCCAGGTGCCCCCCAAGATTACTTTTTAAATATCAAACGTACTTTTTATTCTGCCTTCAGGTAATAAATTTCATGTCATTGCTGTTTTCAGATAAAAGTAAGGACAGTTATGAACTAACAACACAGCCCAAAAATACATGAAGCAAATACTGAATCTGACAAAGGTGCCAAGACCCTTCAGTGGGGAAAGAATAAACTTTTCAACAAATGTTGTTGAAACAATTGGACATCCACATGCAAGAAAAGCCCTTTTCCACAAGAATTTAACCCTCCTTCGTGCTACATACAAAAATTTCCTCAAAACAGATCAAAGACTTAAATATAAGAGCTAAAACTATGCAGCTCTTAGAAGAAAAACTGGGTATAAATCTTCATTCCCTTGGGTCAAGCAAATATTTCTTAAATATGACACTAAAAGCACAGGCAGCAAATGAAAAAAATAGACAAATTAAACTCCATTAAAATGTGAGCGTCTAAGGATACTATCAAGAAAGTCAAAAGACAACACACAGAATGGCAGAATATTTGAAAGTCATCTATGTAATAAAAGTCTAGTACCCAGAATATATAAAGAATTCTTACGATTCAGCAATCAAAAGATAATAGCTCAACTTAAAAATGGGCAAAAGATTTGAATAGACGTTTCTCCAAAGAAGATCTACAAACAGTAAATAAGCACATGAAAAGATGCTCAATATCATTTGCATTAGAGAAATGCAAATTAAAACCACAGTGAGATAACATGTCACTCCCACTAGGATTAGAATAGCTGTAATTTTTTTAAGAAAGAAAATAAATGTTGGTGAGGATGTAGAGAAATTGAAA